CTTTTACTTATTTAAAACCCTTTTTCTTTATTCTTTTATAATTTTACCACTTTATTTTTACTTTTTTATAATTTTGTCACTAAAGTTTCAATAAACTTTTCCTCTTTATAGTTTGGATACTTTATTTTTACTAATTTTGCCATTAAAGTTTCAACAAACTTTTTCTCTTTATAATTTTGACACTTTATTTTTACTTCTTTATATTTTTGCTACTAAACTTTCACCCGTGCAACGGACGAGCCTTTTCCTAGTTTTTATTAAGTAAAACAAATGATGCAATCTTTTTATGGGAATGAGAATAACACCATTTTAACTTTTAACGTCTCCAAAAAGCAATAAATGAATAGATCCGTTATATAGCACCTTCTTGTTCCAAGCCAAAAGAAATACCTTACAACATGATTAAATCTATTTATAGAATGTGGCATTTCTTTTAACATTATATCAATATATAGAAGAGATATCGACTAAACAATATTCAAGTTTGTTAAAAACAAATACAGTTTTATTCTAACATAACTTTTTGATCGTTTAAACTAAAACTTTGCAATTATTTATTTGTTATTTTTCTCTTATAAATTCGGATAATATGTTTTCAGGTTACCATAATTTTTTTTACAAATAAACATTTATTTATTTTTAATCATTTACATTTTTATGTTAAGTATTTCTCCCATACTATATGTATTTTTGAAATCATTGATTTATTGTGGCATATCATGATATTTTTATTTATTTGTGTTCTTGATATTCTTATTCTCTAAGGTGAAAACTAAATAGATTTACGTTTCAAAAGTGATTAAGTAGTAATCAGTTACTCACCTCTTTTATATATAAAAATGCCAATCATGTCGTGTGTTGGGTTGGTGAGTTAGAAAGCTCAACCCACACACGACCCATATAAATATTTGTTTCATCTTGCTCAACCCTTAAAATCGAATGAGTCAAACCCTAACATGACCCGCCTAACCTGCTTAACTATATGAGTTCATAAGGTTCGTGATTCGGGTTCGTGGGTCAGAATCAAGTTTGAGGATCACATAAAATAAGTCCTATCTGGTAATCATTTCAGATCTAAACCTACAACGGCATTAAACTAGGGTTTGTAGTTGTGTTTAATCTGGAGAGAACATTGACGTTAGCGACTAAGTTCGATCTGGAGAGAACATACACGACGAGCTTTAACTACAGTTTGATGTAGACCAAAGGAAAATAGGTGGGACTACAGAGGTCTTTTGTCGGAAGACGAGGGAAGAAGAGAGGAAATGGTAGTGTGGTTGATTTCTGGCCATAGGAGAAGGTCAGAGGGTTGCAAAGTGTTTAGTAGAGGAGACAAATGATGGTAGTGGTGGTGGAGGATGGTGGCATTATAAGTGTTGTAGATCTTTTTTTGAATGACTAACACACAAACCTACAAAATCCTACTTCTAAACTATTCATTTTGTCAACATGAGACCTGAACCCTCAACCCCTTAGGGGATGAACATATTTACAACATCTTGATACCTCTAGGCCAAAGTCTCTTTGGTGTAGGTGTTGTAAATCTAACATGGAGATGGTGGAAGTTGGATATTGAAGAGTTTTAATAGTCTGAATAGTGAAGAATAAGTGCTTTTTAATAAACAAATTATTATTTTTAAATAAAACTTATATATAAAAAGTAATATAAATTTTTAGATCAATTTTCTTGAAAAATACAACCATAAAAACTCACCACACAAGAAATAAAACTACATAGACCAAATGATAGATGTTTTGATAATTATATGAATCAATCAAGAGGAGTAATCTAACAACAATTTAGATGGTGTTTGAGATGTCATTTTAAACTTAAAAATGATTTTTAGGCAAAATGACTTATTGACTTATGTTGATAAGAAAATAAGTTTTTCAAAAAGTGTTTGGATTAATTTTTATGGAGTGAAAAGTCAATAAGTTATTTTTTAAAAAAATATTTGTCTTAACTTATACATGTTTTAAAGGGTATTTGACTTTTACAACCTAAAAAGTTATAAGAAGTTTTGAAAAATTAAAAATCCTAACTTAATAAAATCTCATTTATGAAGGGTTAATGAGAAATTATTTTAAAAATCATTATCATATTGGCAAACACTTTTTTGACTTATTGACTTTTCAAAAAGCCAATAAGTCAATAAGTTGTTTTTAGATTAAATCATAAACACCATCTTAATGTGTATTTTAATAAAAATAAAAAAACAAAAATAAATTGTTTTTGACAAAAATAACCACTAAGTCCGGAACGAACATTCCAGACCGAAAAAAAAAACATTTTTCTGACAAAAAAAATATATTTCGGCATGACATTCTGGAATCTCAGACTGAAATTTTGGAGTTCGAAAAAAAATCCGGAATTTCAAGAACAATTTCGAAATTTCGAGAAAAAAATATTTTTTAATTAAGTCAAATAAAAAATTAAACAAACATAATAAATTTAAAATATACACGATATTAAGATATAAATCAAAACAATGATATTAAAAATTTTCAAATAGACACTTCCAGTATAAATAAAAAGATTTGTTTTGAAAAAACCAATTTCTTTTTTTAGAATTTAAAGATCAAACACATTATATCTATTCTAAATAACAATTTCGGTGGCTTTTACTCCCTTCTACTTTTGTCTACTTTTCATTTTAATTCTTCAATTATTTTTAATTTTTTGGCAATTTAGGTCCCCCTACTAAGTTTCTTTTGTTTTTACTCATTTCAACTTTTCTTATTTTTCATTTTCACTCTTTAATCATTTTTAGCTTTTGGCAATTTAAGTCCTCCTAGTAAGTTTCTATTGCTATTATCCTCATACTTTAGTAAATAACATTTTCAACCCTTCATCTTTTAAAATATCATATTCACCCCTGTATATGAACTTTTGAAAATGTCAATTTCACCCCTTTTATTTTCTAAACTTTTGTTTTATCTCCCATAATATGGTATAATCTGATTTTCCTACGGTTATCACCCCTTTGATTTTTCTAACCTTTCATATGTGTCGGTATAAATTAGAGGTGGTCATTGTTTCGGTGTAAATTTAGAACTTTAGTTAGGTGCTATTTGTTTTTTTGAAGCAAAAATTCATAAAATCTGCGGACCACCTCTGCAACCCTCTGCAGTAGAAGAGGTGGACCAAACGGCTGCAGACTGTAATA